CACTCCAGAGAACACGTCTCCACTGCTCTAGAGTCCAGTGGCAGTGTGCTTTACACCACTGCACCCGATGCTTTGCATTGCACTTGGTGATGTAGGGCTTGGATGCAGCTGCTTGGCCATGGAAACCCATTCCATGAAGCTCTCTATGTACTGTTGTGCTAATCTGATGGCCACATGAAGTTTGGAGGTCATTAGCTATTGACTCTGCAGACAGTTGGCAACTTTTTGGCACTATGCGTTTCAGCATGTGCTGACCCCCCTCTATCATTTTAGATGGCCTACCACTTCGTGGCTGAGTTGCTGTTGCTCCCAGTTGCTAACAGTTGACTGTGGAATATTTAGTAGCAAGGAAATTTCACAGATGGACTTATTGCACAGGTGGCAACCTATCATGGTACCATGCTTGAATTCACTGAGATCCTGCGAGCCACTCATTCTTTAAAAAATGTTTGTAGAAGCAGTTTGCATGCCTAGGTGCTTGATTTTATATACCCGTGGTCATGGAGGTGATTGGAACACCTGAATCCAATGATTTGGAGGAGTGTCCCAATACTTTTAGCAATAAAGTGTATGTGCAGTATGAACAGGGCCTCTAGAAGTCCCTATTTGTACTTTGAATTATGACACTTTCTTGGAAATTGCTCTTAAAAATGCATTGTTGAAAGGTAGGGTAGGACTTCAGCCAAAAGGGGAAGTTCCACTTTTCCTCCCCCTCCCACCCTGACTGAGTAATTGTCACTCAAAGTGTGATAGTGCTGAAAGCTGAAAATTGGCCTGGACTGGAAGGGGGTGAAAGTGTCTGGACTAGAAGTTAACTATTGTTTTGGTTTTTTTTTTTTTTTACTCAGCACAAAGGACAGTACTTACATTTAATGGGAGGCATCCTCTGTGCTGTTGGCTGTGTGTTAGTTAAAATCCAAAGTCCTCTGCTGCCCCCCTCCCCCAATAATTCAACTGCTTGGACCTGTCATAGGCACTTGTCTAGAGTGCTGACTATGCTTGCCTTTTCTGTCATCTCGTCCACTCATAAAAGCCAAGCTATAGCTTTATTCAATGAAAAACCCTCTATGAATGGAAGGTGAATGAAAGATCTGCCTCCATTCATAGAGTGCTTTTAATTGATGGGGATTGGGACGGGGGGCAGAGGACTTTGGATTTCAACTAAGAAGCCATCAGCACAAGGGACACTTCTCAATCAACGTAAGTACTGCCCCTTATGCTAATTTAAAACAAATTAAAAAATAAATGTAACACCCTGCCATAATACTGTTTGCAGGATGTTAAATGGACACAAGATGGCAGTGTCCTGCAGCTTCGTTATACAGACTCTGTTGAAAAGCTTTGCAGGACTTCACTCTTTGACAGAGAGTTACCAAACTACATTTCCCAGAGGAGCTTGTGGAAGGGCGGAAGCAGATAAATACAAAAGCCTAGTGGGAACTCGAGGACAGGAAATGGACGGAGGAAGCTGGAGAGCAGGTGTAAGAAGACTGTGTGGGACTCCAGAGGTCCAAGATGGGCCAGACTGCAGAGAGTGGAGAAGAGAGGAAGAATTGCTGACTACTGACACTGCTGACAAGTCTGGCGGGCAGGAGTGCTGCTGTCCGGAGTGATCTCTGAAGGAGGAACCATGAGAAAACAGGGGCCCATGTCTGCAGAGAAACCATCTGTCACTTGACTGAGGTGAGAGAGATCTATACTCGAGCCATCTGAGTCATACATGATATTAACAAATGTAGTTACTTTCTACTCAGTTTGACTATTCTGGTTTCCTAAGTTACACGTGTTAAGGCACCAGTTGTTCAGTCTACTAGTTATTACACTTTCAGCATATCCAATCACCAGAGTCTTCCCTCTGCAGGTCAAGTGGTATCATTGCTCCCATTACAGTCTGCCCCATTTGTAAAGGAGCTCTTTCATTGCTGCAGTTTACCACTATGTTTCTGCCCATTTTTATTTCTGCCAAATTTTACATCTTTCTGTGTGTTAAAGGGGCACTATTCAAAGCCAATATCGCTTAAAGGGGAAGCTCCCTTCCTTTGTGTTCACCCTCTTTTAAGGAACACCAACCTTTTGCCTCAAGGAGGATTTGATTCCATATGTGCACCAACTAGGGTCCCATCAAGCATGCAGAAGATCAGACACTGCAGTTAAAGGGACATTGGCCTATTTAATTGAAGAGCTCTTCTTTCCTCAGAATAAGACTCAGCCATCAGCTACTGAAAGCCTAAAGTGAGTTAGCCTCTGTTTGGTAGTTTTTTTTTTTACTCACTGGGGAAGAAGCATCTCAGGACTGGGGCTAATCGTTTACTTTCTTAATTGCAGAACATCTAGATGTCCTGATTGAGATTGTGCTGTGTTGTGACCCTTACTTGAAGTTACTAGAGTAATAGCTGTTACTTCATGTACATATTTTCCTGGTGCTTTACTGTGCCTACATTAGATCTCAATATAACCAAAATATCAGTTCACTCTAAACTGTGCGTGAGTCTATTTTATGGTCGCAGCCAAAGGATTCTTCTGGCCAGTTGTTTAGGGTAATGTCAGCAGTAGTTGGGGCATCCAGCCCGGGGTCATGAGAGACAGGGAACCCGAAAATTACTCATCGGACCCTGGGGGGGGGGGGGGGGGGTAGTGCTACATAAACAATATAAAGACAGATCAACTCCTTCACATGGGATAATTCCCAGATCTCTATCTCTAGAACCACTTTTCATAGACATAAAAGAGAAAGAGGTATAGGCCTCCTGAACATTTTGCACTATTTCCAAGATGCCCAGTTTTACCGCTGATTACCCTTCATGAAACTAAATTACTTGTGGATTTTATCCGTAAATCCCTAACACATATCCTATCACACTACAAGCACTACCGGAGTTACAGCTTCATTGTAGGCCCAGGGACCTTAGTTTATTATTAAACATCTGGGATTCACTCATACAGTATATTCTTCTGACCTTGAATCCTCTTATTTGCCTCTGTTACCACTCTTCTCACAACCCCTCCTCCTGCCAGAATTTTCTGACCCTAACCTGTTCACTTGGTGGACAACCCAGGACTATCATAAAATCTACCATTTTGTACAACAATCCACCATAATCTCCTAGTCCTTATCCTTTTTTAGAGCAGGACTGTCTAAATAACCCAGGGGGTTCTGAACTGATCACATTTTTATATTCACATATGAATATGAATGTGTCAGTTAAGACTTAAACTTAAAGGAGAAGTACAGTCAAAGCTCTTTTGGTTGTACTTCTATGAATCATAGGAGTGCAGTTCGTCCTGCACTCCTGTGACCTGTTTGCAGCTGACAGCGGGCTGAAGCCTGCTGTTGGCTGACATCACTCAGCTGGTACAGGCTGGGGAAAGATCCCGACTTCAAAGTCAAGATCCACCCCAGAGTCTGGAGCGGCACCTGGCTCAGCCTCTCAGCGAGCCGCTGGGAGCCTGAGCGAGCCCAGCATTCCAGTGAGCGGGGGGGGGGGGGGACGGGGGAGACCAACCAATCAGCAGTGCCTGAGAGGCTGTGAGAACTCAATGATTAGCAGTCAAGTCATTGCTGAGTTAGTACTTAGAGCTGGCAGGGGACAGATGCAGCATCGGACTGATGCTGCATCCACCTAGGTAAGTATGATTAGAAAAAAAATTCCATACTTTTCTCGCTCTCTATCTGTAATAATCTGGCCTCCTGTTCCCTTAATGCTAATAATACAGGAGTAACCTACAAAGTGATGGTGTGACGGTATATGATCCCCTTCCACCTAAATCCTGTTCTTTCAGATAAGTGTTTTGGGAGTGTGCAGCTATAAGAGACATGCTACAAATTTGGTGGACATATCTGTTTGCTGCCACATTCTGGACCCAGGTATTCTGTCTACTTAAATTATTATTTTACAAGGATATCCAAAAAGATCCCTGGCAGGGTCTTCCAGAATATATATTTGGTTACCTAGGAAACTGCAAACATTTATCCATAATTTTTTGCTTGAATCAAAATTAACACTGGTGATGAGTTAGGAAAAAACAACTTATTCACATTTCCAGAAGTCAAAAACAGGGTGGACAATATCATGGGTCATAGAAGGCTCACCAGCAACTTGGATGGCAAACACAAAATATTCCTGAAAATCTAGTAACCTTATATAACATTATACCACACAGAAATGGAACATGCTAGTCTTAGGTATATTTGAAACACCTTATATTGGGAGTTGGGGGGGCTTCCTCTGGTCCTGACTCCTAATCTCCCGAATGACCAAGCATTTTTGCCCCCTGCACAGAGACAGCTGTCTTTTACCTATACCACGCTCTCCATGCACACGGGGCGTTTTAATAACGCTGGTAACGTTAGCTGTGTAAAGTCACGTTAAAAACGTGAGTTTTTCAGCGTTTTTTAATGTTTAGTGCTTGGCGGCATTTTGCCTCGTTTATTTTCACGCCTGTAGTTTTTAGTGTTTTTTTTTTTTTTATGAAAAAAAATTTTTTTGCTCAAAAAAAGTCTAAAAATAACGGTTTGCCGCGTTTTTAAGCGTTAGAGCTTTTTTACAGCTAAACTCCTCTAGAAACCCACTAGTTCTGGGTTTTTTTTCCAGCCAAAAAATGCCCCTGCCAAAAAACATTGGTTACAGCCTATGTGTGCATGGACACATAGGATAACATGCTGGGCAGTTTACTGACTGTAGAAAAAAATGCAAAAAGCCAAAAACAGCATCTGTAAAAACGTCCAGTGTGCATGAGAATTTAGAGCTCACTCACAGATGCTTTGTCCTCTGAAGAGCAACCTTCAGAGAGCATTTGGGAGGCTGCGAGGTGATGACTTGTAGTGAAGCCCCATCCACAACGAAGGCATAATACCTGCCATGGCCGCAAAGCATCACAGCCGCCGAATGTGCAGCTAACCGGGGAAAGGGGCAGCGGTTTGGGGACAGTAAAAAAAAGTCTCAACTTCAGGGTTTTACCACCCCTCAACTGCTAGTGTGAAGATCCCTTAGGCCTCCTTCACATGACATGGGCATATAGCTGCATATACTGGATTCTTGAGGCGAGAAGCAGGGAATTCTGCTGGCTGGAATGACAGGTACATGCGAATAGTGGGGGCCGCTCAACCTGTACAAAGTGCTGACCGTAGCCGTTGCTTTTTAAATGTAGCTGCATACCAAAGGGTTACCTGCTGCTAGGGACACATACAGGCTCATACATAGGAGATGCATATATGCTCAGACACTGACAGTATTTGAAGCCCAATTCCAGCCAACACTTTTTTTGCCATTTTGGGTAGAGTATAGTTAGAAGCTCTTTTAAATTGTCCATTTTTGCTCCTGTGTTGTCACATGGGATACAAGTGGTAGTTTAACATACATACAGGCACAGTCAGCTGTTGTCACCATCAGGAAACCTGCCTTAAGACATGACACATAGGTGTCATTGCAGTGCATGCAAACAGAAAGTGGCTGCAGGAGATCAGTAGCACCTAAATGCAACACAGAATGAAAGGATGTAAACAATATTTTTTAAGGTTGTACTAAACTTACAATAAGGCTTACCTGTAGGCAGAATGAATATCTCCAAAATGTGAGCCGTTTAGGAGATATTCACAATTTCAGCAGCCAGTGATGTCACCAGCACACATACACACTGTGCTCTTTATTGACTCCCATGTGCATGAGTTGGAGTAAGGTCAGCGTGGCTTAGCCATTCAACCGGCAGGAGCGTGCGGACCCAAAAGGAAGACTGGGGAAGATGGAAGCCCTGGCAATGATGGAGGTTATCTGACAGGCAGGGGCGGACTGACCATTCGAGCACACGGGCACTGCCCGGGGTCAGTAGGGGGCCCCATGAAATGCCCCTGGTACACATTTTTTTTTTTTATAGGCTTTTTTGAGTGTGGGCAAGGGGCCCCATGATCCCCTATTGCCCGGGGGCCCCATGAGTTGTCAGTCCGCTCCTGCTGACAGGTAAGTCAGCCATAGTGTGCTAATATGCCATGCATACTAGCACAGTATGGCATTAGCCCATAGGGATATTTTTTTTTTTTGCTTTACTACCACTTTTTTGCTTTACCACTACACTAGATGCAGTTCAGTGCACTTTTTTTCTCCATCAAAAATGCATGCACAGTGTTTTCCATGTATTCCAATAGCCCTAGTTCACATCAGTGCAGTCAGGTCCAGTCAGCTTCCGGTGCAGAATAAAAAGTAGAACAGGCTGCATTTTTTTCTGCACAGAACCATACTGGAACATGGCAACTGCACCAGAACTGCGTGTGTTGTGAGCTGTAAGCAAAAACGTACCCGGAGTGCGTTTTTGTAGTGTGAACTGGCCATAAATGGCAATAGTTTATGATACACATTGCTCTTCTAAACTATATATCATTTAGTTACCATTTACACCTGCTTTAAGATGTTTCCTGAAGGTAACAGGAGGTGACGGGAAAAGTCCCTAAATCAGTTGTCATGTCCTTCAAAAGTGTAAGGGCCGGTTCACACTATAGAAACGCAGTCAAGATGCATTCCGGATGCGTTTTTGCATGTGCATTTTTTATGTGTTTGTGACACTTTCTGGTGCATTTTTGATGCATTTTGTTATGCATTCCAGTGCGTTTTTTTATGCATTCCAGTTAATTGTTTCCCCCTCTCTTTTTTCTTCAATTTAAATAGGAACATGTGCTTTTTGGATGCGTTTGGTATGTTCCAGTGCATTCCAGTGCGTTTTTGATGCGTTTTACCATGTTCCAGTACAGTTCTGTGCAGAAAAAATGCAGCATGTTCTACTTTTTTTTTCTGCAACCGGAACACACTGGAACTGCAAGCACTGATGTGAACTACGACACTGACAACCATATAACCTACTTTCTGTGCGTTTTGGATGCAGAAAAAAAGCAACTGAAATGCATGTAGTGTGAACTGGCCCTAATACATACAAATACATAATGGGGGAGATTTACTAAAACTGGAGAGTGCAAAATCTGGTGTAGCTCTGCATCAAGACCAATCCGCTTCCAAGTTTTATTGTCAAAGCTTAATTGTATAGTCTAAAGTTAGAAGCTGATTGGCTACCATACACAGCTGATTGGCTACCATTCACAGCTACACCAGAATCTGAGTGTTCTAGTTTTTGTACATCTCCCCCGATGTGTCCTAATCCAAAGCAGCCATTTATATTGGTCGTTTATATGAATCCATAAAATTCTACAATTCCAATACATAGATTTCTCTCATTTTCAAAACCTTTAACTATTCCTTCATCAGCCTGCTGCATAAACTAAAATCAGTATGCTATAAGTTACCATTCGGGGTGATGCAAAATGTCCGTCTTATCCACAATGATAACTGAGGCAGCTACCTGGACCTACCTATCCAGGGGAGCCCGCTATTGATGAAATATAATTGTATTTATAAGCCTTCTGACTGATATATGAGAAGTGTAATCCTCACAAAGTCCCTTATCATCCCATGCAGCCAATTCTCAACTTACATTGTACCTGCCATTGCAGCATTCCAGCTGTCAGAGGTCATCACATAAAGAAAAATGCTATCTGAAAGGAGCCTGCTGTGGCCCTATCCCTGTGCACAGACTAATCGATCAAACATGAGGTCGCTGAATTCCCTTTGTGCAGGTGTAGAGAATACTGTGCAGGACAGGCTATAGACTGCTGAGGGCTGTGGTGGTCAGCTACAAAGCATCAGGCAGAGGCTTCCAGTGTGTATTGCTTGACTGCTGAAAAACAGCCTAACGCCATTCATAATATGTATTCCTGACCAAAGATGACACAAAGACATATTTAGGGCCCATTCACACCAGGTGCGGTGGTACTGCACTGGGCTATAACAAAGTATGGGATGCGGTCTAATGCGCCACTTCAGGGCCCAGCACACTAGCAGCTGCACTAGAACTCAGCCACTAGTGTGCAGGAGCATGATAGCGGTGCAAAGGCATCGCCCCAGCGAATCACACTCCACACTGGGCCCTAAATCTATCTTCATGTAATCTTTGGGCAAGGATACCCATTATGAATGGTTAAGGCTGCAGTCACTCCTGGCAGATTGGTTTTCAGGCGTTTTTTTTGGAGAGTTCTGCAAGTGTATTTGAGCGTGTTAGATTTGAACTGGGGCTCTTGAAATAAATGGGATTTGGCTCAGTGAACGTTTTGAAACTTAAGCTACAAAACACTCAGGTGTCAGTTGGACCTAGGGCATCACTTAAAGTGGTTGTGAACTAGAGATGTACCCATACACTTTTTTGATCGGCGAGTACGAGTACCAATACTTTCGGTCAAGTACTCGCCAATACCGAGTACAGATACTTTGCGGTGCTATTTGCATCCGTACACCGCAAAGAATAGCATGTGCTTTGAACAGGAATGCAGTGCAATTCCTATCCAAATCACATGCAGTTACCCCACTGCTCCTGTGTGAACCCAGGCTTGTCATAGCTGAGTTCACACAGGAGCTGTGCTGGAAACCTCCCTACACCCATCCCATGCTGTCACAGAAGGAAAAGCCACCTCACAGGTCCGGGGATTTGAAATCTCCGTGGCTTTCTCTCCTCTCCTTGCAAGGATGACAGTACGGGATAGAAGGCTTCTGACTGGTCAGCACCGCAACGGTCAAAAGTTTACTGCTTCATTAATTATGGAAAAACCATATTGTGAGTTCTTTAACCACTTTTCTGGAGCTTTATTTCATTCGCACACAAAAATCTTGATTTTTGGCTATAAAATTACTTAAAACCTCAAACATTATACAGTATATTTTTGGAATACAGAGGCCTTGTAAAATATAAAAGATGGTAGTTACCATTATTTTTATGCTGCATGATATTTCAACAACTGTTTATCAAATCCATATTTTCAGGAAAATATTTCACAAAAATGAGTTTTAGTGTATACAAACACAAGCTGATCCCCTATTTTTTTTGGAAAGAGTAAATAGATACCAAAAATGTTAAGCCAAAAACCTGTGTGTGCATTTGAAAAGACAACAAATTACCCAACCCAAAATTATCATCAGTTTATAGCTCATCTGTTTATGATTAAACATAAACGAGGGACCAATAAACACATATAGGGGTTGATTTACTAAGGCTGGTTATACATTATACAATTTTCTTGAGAATTTTTGCTTTAGATTTACCAAAAAACCATATAATAGTAGGTCAAACCTAACAACAATATCAATTGTATCTAATTAGGCAGGCTCTTGTACTACATAGTTGAAGGTAAATCTAAAGGAAATTGGGCAGAAAATTGTAAAGTGTATGGCCAGCCTAAGCCCTTGTTCACACTGGATCCGACTTTGAAATTGTGCGACTTCAAGTGAAGTTGCACGATTTCAGAGTCTCATGTCAGTGCAGCTTGGCAAACATCTGTGCGACTTCATGCACAGATGTCTATGCAAGTCACACCTGAAATCGCAAACAATAGTGCAGGAACCTTTGTTTCAAATCAGTGCGGCACACCCCAAAGTCTGAGTCGCACCAATTCGAATGGCTCCATTGCCGACAATAGGGTGCAACTTGTCTTGCTGTTTGAAACTGTCAAATCTCATGACAAGTTGCACCGTTGTCAACCTCGGTTAAAACTGGAGAGTGCAAAATTTGGTGCAGCTGTGCATAGTAGCCAGTCTGCTTCTAACTTCAGCTTGCCCAATTAAGTTTTGTCAAAGAAACCTGGATGCTTATTGACTTCTATGCAGAGCTGCACCAGACTATTGATTAGACACCCAATAGTCAATGGAAATTATCGCTTGCAAGCATTATAGTTACAGCCTTGCCATCCCTACCCTTGTTTGCATGACCAGGGCAGGGACAGCCTTATGAGGAAAGTAAATATCAAAATTGTTTAAAATATAAATTTGTAAACATTATGAGAAAATAATTCAAACCTAAAGCAAAGAAAAATGGCTGGGTCTCAACCAGCATTTAGCTGTCAGCCATCTCTATCTTGTTTCAGAAACTGATGGCCTGATGGAAACCATTCATGACTGTATTGTTTACTGTTGTAATCATGTGATCGCGATGACCAGTCATAGTGATCAAATCATACCCCAGGCCAGGGGCGGACTGACCATTTGGAAACTC